TGCAGGGTTCTGGTGGTTGTATTTGCTAAACGTCACCTTTTCTTTTAGGTGCGCTCTTGCACATTTTACGAACCTTCTTTTTACTTTGATCGTTGACGGAGAAGGCAGCATAACCACCCAAGCGCAAGCACAAGCGTAAGAATCACATGTAAATTCCATTTGGTATTTTCTACTAATGTAATTTAAATTGTTTAGATTTTAGCACCCATTTATTTGATGCGTAGCGAACATATTATTTAAATAAAGGCTTAAAGTACGTGCTCGCAAAATCGCGTTTCATTCTCCAGTCAACACACTAAAATACTTTTGCGTATAACCTAAAATTGTACAAAGAACCAATATGAGCAGCGAGGAAAATACGATTCCCGAGGGATCTGCCGTACCGTCATCCAGCGCATCGGCCATAATAAGTGTAACCGCATCACCAGTCGCACCTCCTCCACTTCAGGAACTCGCGACCATCGAAGCACCTTCACAAACTTGGACAACTGCGCTAATTGATAGGGAATCTCGATTCGTCGGTGCTATATCCGCGCAAGAGGATGTATTTTCAGGTGCTATAGCATTAGGTACCACTCATATAGGGGAGCATTCACAGATGGCACCTTTAGCCAGCACAACCGTCACTTCCTGTACATCCGCAGGTGCAACCTTATCGGATTTGCAGACACATGTGAATTTAGGCGCTCCAATTTCGTCACCGCCCACACGTGTTCAGGCTCTAACCTCAAAATACGATGCGTACATTCGGCAAGCGCCTTTGACGACATGTATAGAGTCTGGCCCGTTTTCTGCACATGTACATGGTATCAGAACCTCAGCGATGAACTCATACCCTTCCACGGCGCTGTACAACGGTGTAGGTAATTTTGGGGGTCACCGACCAGCTGCCAATTCGACATTTGTTTACTCAATCGCTGAAGGGGCACCGCAGAGTGGTAACGTTACGCATTCATGCGCACATAGGTTTTCGGGCGCTTCGCAGGTGTGGACATCTCGCCAGTCTCAACCGTTTTCGTTTATACCACCAGCATCAGGGTTGCCGAATGTGGCGAACGGAAATCAAAGTGCATGGGGCGCAATGGGTCAGTCAGGGCTATACACAACTTACGATGCAACGTTGTTGCCCTCGCATGTAGCTGCGAGGCAAGCCATTACTAAGGACTTACCCTCCTTTTCCGGTAAGCCGGAAGAGTGGCCTTTATTTATTACTAATTATGTTCAATCTACGGAGCGCTGCGGGTTTTCTGACCAAGAGAATCTTATTCGGTTGCAGAAGTGCTTGAAAGGCGCTGCACTTGAGTCAGTCCGAGGAAAATTAATGATGCCTGCCACGGTAAACTTGGCCATCGAAACTCTGCGTATGCTCTTCGGTCGGCCAGACGTGATTCACGAAACGCTCCAACGTAAGCTGCGAGAGGTGCCTCCTGTACGGATCGAAAGGTTAGAGAGCTTGATTGAATTCGGCCTGGCTGTGCAAAATTATAGGGCGACGATGCAAGCTCTGGGTCTCGATGGCTATTTGGACGATCCCATGCTACTCAACGAACTCCTGAGTAAACTTCCAGGTGAAATGAAGCTGGAATGGGGTAGACGTCGTTTAAGTCTTGCACGCGTAGATATTATTGCGTTTGATGAGTGGCTCTTCGGACTGGCATCCTGTGCCAGTCAGGTTACTCCTGTTAATAGCGTTCCATCAGAGGTGAAGGTAGGAAATAAAGGGCGCCGGGAACGGTTACTTGTCCACGACGCATCCTCAACTTCTGCCAGTCGTACGCCGGGGTCGCAGAAGGTCTCGTGCCATAAGTGTACAGGTGCACATGATTTAGCTGAGTGCCGTGAATTCAAGGCATTAAGTAGGCAATTACGCTGGCAGTTAATTAAAGAGAAGAGACTTTGTATACGATGTTTTAAGAATCACCAGGTTCGTCGATGCAATTCCAACAAATGGTGCGGCGTCGATGGATGTCGTTTGGCTCATAATCCGTTGCTGCATGGGCAGCGACTTCAACAACAAACTAAGCCACATGAAAGCGATGATACAGGGAATGCTGAAGTCGAAAATTCCGTGATATGCTTGCATCAGAAGCCGCATGACAGAGCTATCTTCAGGTATGTTCCCGTAACTTTACACGCCAACGGTGTAACTCTGGAAACAGTTGCACTTATCGATGAAGGTGCATCTTGTACATTGTTGGACGATACCCTGGCTCGACAACTCAAGCTTAGTGGCCCTAGCGAGGAGCTTTGTCTCAGGTGGACAGGCAATATTACCCAGCAAGATAAGAATTCTCAAATCGTATCCTTTGAGATTTCAGCAAGAGGAAACGACTCTGTTAAGTATGGTAGGCGAAGCGTACGCACCATCGCGAATTTGAAGTTGCCGCGACAATCGCTGCAAGTGGGCGACATACGGGAGCGCGATCACCTTAAGTCACTACCTATAGTGTCGTACGACTCATCCAGAGCTGGTCTCCTGATTGGCCTAGATCATGTAAAACTGTGTGTACCGTTGGAGGTTCGTCAAAGTCAAAACGATGGCCTGGTAGCAGCGCGCTGTCGACTAGGATGGTCTGTCTACGGTCGTGATAGGCACGATAGGTCGCCCAACGAGAGATTGATGCACATTTGTGAGTGCAGTAAAGATGGCAACCTCGACAACCTAATGCGATCATTCTTTTCTGTTGAGTCAGTTGGAATAAGTCCAACTGTTAAACCTCCAATGTCAAAAGACGATGAGCGTGCGTGGCAGATAATGCAAAGCACAACAAAATATGTTGAAAGTGAAAGGAGATGGGAAACGGGGCTCTTGTGGAGATTTGATCGCATTGATCTACCGCAGTCGTATCAAATGGCACTCAAACGGCTTGAGTGTTTGGAAAGAAAAATGGAGAAAAATCCACATTTAAAAGACTTCATCACAGAATGCATTCAAGACTATCTTCGCAAAGGCTATGTGCGGAAGTTAAGTGCAGACGAGATTTCCCACAGGAGGAAAGGCATGGTACATTCCAATTTTTTCAGTCCTAAGCGTCAACAAGGGCAAGAGGCGGCTGGTGTGGGATGCAGCCGTGATAGTTGAGGGAACTGCTTTGAATGATGTGCTACTTAAGGGTCCTGACCTATTGAGATCCTTGGTCGGTGTTTTGCTTCGCTTTCGTGAAAAACCGGTGGCATTGTGTGGTAACATTCGCGAAATGTTTCACCAGGTTGGAGTCATAAAAGCGGACCAAGCCGCGCAACAGTTTCTATTGCGTGACGGTGATAGAACTCGTGAGCCAGACACTTTCGTTATGGTCGTCATGACGTTCGGTGCATCTTGTTCGCCCTCCTTAGCTAACTATATTAAAAACAGAAACGCATACAGGTTTAAGGACAAGTTCACTTCCGCAGTTGCAGCCATCGTAGAAAATACATTCGTGGATGACTGGCTTCAGAGTGTTGAAACAGAAGATGAAATGATCCAACTCGCAACGGAAGTGTGACACATCCATAAGGAAGGTGGCTTCGAAATGCGCCACTGGCTTTCCAATTCAAAACGAGTTTGGCGTGTTATGGCAGGTCAATCTGGATTGGTAGATAAGTGCATTGAAGAGCCGGGCAATGATGCGGAAAAAGTCCTTGGCATATGGTGGCAACCACACACCGACGAACTAATGTTCGTGCAGCAATTTAAAGAGCAGTTTTTTGATGAATTAAGCATTCCAACCAAGAGAGATCCTTCGAGCGGTTATGACAGGCAGCGGTTTTGTGTTCATGGTCTCAGGGCCCTAGTTAGAGCCATTGCAAAGAGGTGTCAACTGTGCCGTAACTACAGAGCTTCGCCAGAAGTGCCAGATATGGGACCACTCCCTTCGGAGCGCATCGCTGCATTTACACGACCATTCACCTACACGGGTGTTGACTACTTCGGCCCGTTTGATGTTGTGATTGGTAAGCAGCATGAAAAGCGTTGGGGCGTGCTATTCACGTGTATGACCGTGCGAGCTGTTCATGTGGAGGTATCGGCGTCACTCTCTACTGACTCATTTCTGCTGGTACAGCGACAGTTTATGTGTACACGTGGTGTACCGAGGCGTATTACGTCAGACAACGGTACGAACTTTCGAGGCGCAAGTCGTGTGTTAGCACAGGAGATCGAGAAGATTGCGTTTAACTTGGTAGAGCAAAAATATCCCGAAATTGAGTGGAGTTTTATACCACCAGCTGCGCCCCACATGGGCGGCGCCTGGGAGCGCATGGTGCGCACGACAAAATCAGTTCTGATGAGAATTTTGCCGGAAAATAGTCTACGAGAAGAAGTCCTACGAGCAGCACTCGCAGAGGCTGAAAGCACAGTCAATATGCGGCCGCTAACATACCTCCCGCTATAGTCACCAGATAGCGAAGCTTTGACCCCGAACCACTTTCTTCTTGGCTCTTCAAGTGGCATCCGCGAGAAAAGCGCTTGTGAAGTCAGCGCATCCACACTGAGTAAGAATTTTCGTATTTCCGGGCAGATAGCTGACCAATTTTGGAAGCGATGGTTCCGGGAGTATTTGCCATGTTTAACAAGACGTTCGAAGTGGTTCGGGTCCCAGACACCTATTCAGCTAGACGATGTTGTCGTTATTGTAGACGAAAACTTAAAGCGCAACACCTGGACCAGGGGCCGCGTATTTGATGTCATACGAGGCAATGACGGGCACATCCGGAGTGCGGTTGTGAAGACGTCAAGCGGTTTGGTCACTCGACCGGTGGTAAAGCTCGCGCGTCTTGATGTTGAAGTTGCAAACCCCGTTGCGCCGCAAGAAGTTTGCGAGGAGGGGTGTTAACGCGCGAGCGTTAAATTATTAAATCAAAAATTGTCAATCACTTGTGCGTGCAGGGTTCTGGTGGTTGTATTTGCTAAACGTCACCTTTTCTTTTA